CTCCTGAAGCGCTTTGTCTGTCTGTTACACTGGTAGATCAGGTGTTCCAGATGGTTTCCTCATCTATTGACTTCTGTGTTTTGAGGAAGAGGACAACTTTCACAGCTGTATCGCATAGGCACGTCGTTAGGTGACAGCCTACTTGCCGTACTACTCACCAGGGTACTCTCATTTGGGTACTCCAGGTGAGCAAGATATTTGGCTGTATATTTCGAACTGCGTCTTCCCTCTAAAATGAGGCTTTCGTCTTTGTCAGGGCCTGTATAGTCTTGGAGAAGAAAGTTCGACAACAGTGTTGCTTGTCGAAGGTTAAATCGAAGGATAAACAAAGATAATGCGGTTGAGGAGTCACAGTGCTTTCAGAATGTAAAGGCCTCAGAAAATGAAACTGGTTATTCCGAGATTTTGTTCGATAAATGTTTCGCAATCTTTGCAAATGTCATGGTTCCCTAAAGCGTTATATTGATTGATTTGAGTAGTTATATGTTACTTGAGTATAAATATATAAAACATGCACTCATGTATATATGCAAACAACAGTATTGAAAACTAATATGTTAATATGTTTTCGTTCCATTTTAAATAATGGGAACTGGCCGAGATTGGTAGGAGTTGATTCACAGATCATTCCCCATTATTTTTGTCTCCGATTCATTTTAAGGCTGCTGTTTTGTTCAGAACCGAATGACGAAAGTGCAGCCAATGTGAACGCTGCGAAGATGTGGCGCGATGACCGCAAGCAGTTCGAAGACATCGCCAATCGCATTGTACGAAAGAGTCTTGGTCTATCAGCAACATGAAGCAGTGAAATGTTTCATATATTCTTGTGGTTTCCGCCTTTATTTTTCTGCAAATACCTTTGTGTAATTGGGTGTGCAACAGTCTTGGTATGTTCAATTAAATTTAATGCCGTGCCTGTTTCTTTGCTTTTGGTAAAACTATCTGAGTAGCATTTTTATTTTTTATGTGATATTTCTACTTCTGAAGACATCGAACTACGTAATGTTGGCTCCGATTATTAGTTGTTTAGGTATGTCGACTGGCGAGTCTAAAAAGGCACTTATGAACATGCTTAAAGTATACATAATTGCTGTAAAACTTGCTGCTGTAAAACTGTTTTCATGTTGCTCTTTCAGAATATATCAAGCCTACACGAGGAAAGGTTGAAAAGCCTGCAAGTAGCTATCAGACAGGAAAAGGAGTGGGCTAATGCTGTAAGCCAGAATGGTTTAAGCGGGGAATCCTATCCACCATCTACGGTATGATCTGATGTTGATGTTTGCATGCTCAGTACTGAATTCTTTCATGACATAAGTCAAGGCACCCGTTTTGTGCGAAACTTTATGGTAGCACATTGCTTCTGTTAGTAGATCTGGCAAGCCCAAGATGAAACGAAAGCTAGACCTAGTCTTTGCTCCCATTTCAGGCAACACTTATCTGTTGTCATTCACCTTTCATGTCAGTGTTAAGCATTGCATTGTTACATGAAGTAATAACGACAGCGTGATTTTACTTTTTTAAGAATTAAGGATCGATAGGGGTGATGATTCCGAATTCTTTTACTGCGTTTGTTAACATTATCTTTCTGACAAACAAATGCTCTTTGCAGGTATCATCTAATGTTAAGTATATTGTTTTTGATGTGGTAATCATATTAAGAAATGACTTTTACAAAATCATATGCAGTGGTCTGTAGGATGATCGATCGATACCGACATTTCAACTCGTATCTCACGGGCTTTCAAGTAAATTTCCTGAGAAGTTTGGTTTTCGTTTGGGTCATCTCCAGCCGTTGGTTCATTTTCAACCAAATGGCTTGATTGTGACTTATGATGCTGCTTCTTGCAGTTTCTGATCATTGTTGTCTCCTGATTCAGGGTTAATGACAGATTTTGTTTAGCTCTGAGGCGTATCTTCACGTACGTAATTAAGTAAGATTGTATTTTTCCGGAACCCTTACTTTTGTTATTCACCCGTTTTTGCTACTTGTGTTTCGAGACTGAATTTATTGAAAATATGACGCTCGACGTTAACTGGGTTAAGAAACATGGGCGAATGTGAAGATGCTTGTGAAAACGACTTTGAGGCTGCGTCAAGTTTCAGGGAAGAGGTTCTCAATGTGTTCTAAGCAGAGATGACCAGCAGAGATTGCTACTCTAGCTACTTGCGCGCATTTTGATATTAATTCGGAAATGCTCAAGAGCAAAATTTGAACTATGAGCTACAGAAGCGCAGTGTTACAACAGACACCTGTTCTGAAACAGGGCTGTGCAGGGAAGAGGTAAGTGATACCGGGATCATAACCATATTCGCCGCCAGTGCGAGAGCCATACCTGTTGTCATCATTAAATTGTGGACTATAGTGAAACAGTCAGTACTGAACATCAGAAGGCGATGTTGTTGCAGTCTTCCAAGGAAACGTTGAAAAATTGACCAGTTGCCTCACAGCAGTGGAAAGTCACAAGAGTAACACTGCCAACCAGATAGTAAATTTCATCGTCTATTTGAGGTACAGAGGTTGCTTCTGCTACCACTCTGAATGTAATTGTAAAGGAAGCATTGCGGGTGAAGTGTCTTTCACGTATTCTGTCCTTCTTATCAACGATCTTTATCAGAAGATGTTATTTAATTTAATCAGAAGAATAAGAACAGGTATGGAGGGTGGAAAGGATGACCCAGTAGATTGTGACATAGAGCGAAAGGAAAAATGAAGATGAAGGCAAGAAGGGCGAAGAGAAGAATATGAAGGCAATAAACACTGAAAGAAAAAGGACAGAAAGAGAACTAGTAGATGGAGAAGAAGATTTTAAACGTTGCATGTACACGTTGCTTTCATCAGTTGCCTTTCGGTTAGTCTGTGGTCTTCGCTTGTAGTACGCATCAGTAGAATAGTTGCGATATGAACCACTGAAGGCTATATTGAGGAAAGTCAGTAAAAGAGAAACCGAACTTTAGTTCAAACAAAATTTACTGATATGTTAGGTAGGAAGTACGATTATTTCAGCAAGTTGGCAAAAGATGAAGGGCAAAAAATGATACAATGAGGTAGAGAGAAGACATGCTCAACAAGACCACAAGACAAGTTCGACTGAACCGGGCTTCTGAACTTGTGTCGATCCTTAGGGGTCCTTTAACTGAACACTTGAGAAGTTCACTTTTGATGTAACGGAGTTAAACTCTTTGCATGTAGCACATGCACATTCGATTTGCAGCAGGCTATAACTTCATGAGACTCGAATTTTTTATCGCAAAGACCACCGCGGCGTTGCCAAGGGCCGTCATGATCCTTTGATAGGCATAATCGCTGAATTGGCAGAAAAATTCAAGCATCGGTGTAGAACATCATAATCGTTTAACGAAGAGCTTATATGCAGCATACTTTACTATGGAGGCTACATATGATTGTCAGAACTTCCAACGAAGCCAAATAGGCACTACTGATTGTCGCAACAATCCAACTTATAAGGATAGCCTTCGCACCTTCGGTGTAACACGCTGAACGTGGTCCGTCCAAGTTAGGAAGACACTGAAATGCAGTTCATTATAAAGGAATGATTTCCTATCCTCCCAAATACAGTCATCAACGGGGCAGGACGCCACTGCCATGTCTTGAGTAAGAGCGCGTGTTACGAGGCATGAAAATATTCTCGAAGCGCTTGATGGCGTTCAACCTTAACCAGCCGGTTGACAAAGTTGTATCAAGTGAAACATTTTTGTTTCGCTTATTAAACTAGGTTTATGTCATATTTCTTAGCTTTTGTTCGTAACTAGTATGCCCTTGTTCTTCATTATCTGTTGTTTCTACTCATTTAGGCAGTACCTGCCAATGTTTTTACGACAAAACTTGACTCACCTCCAAATGGTCATAAGTTTGCGTTTCCTGTTGCCGTAATGAACACTCCTTGGCAGTGCTCGTTTGAAGACGCAGTGGTGATAGGCCTGCACATCAAACAGAGCGCTAAAGAGATGTAAGGTTCTATTCTTATCCTCTGTTATAAAATGGGCTACGTTCAAGGTGTGTAACCGACATCAGTGCGACTGCTGTTGCGGAAGACACCAAAGAAACGCAGACCACCAACAGCATGGTGCTGTCGTTGGCTGCTTCTGGTAGCGACCTGCCTGCTGACCGGCATCATACGCTTATGGTGAATCAAAAATCAGTATTGCGGTTGGTTGCTTTCTTTCATTTTTTTCAGGCACCTTGAAAACGTGTTGAGCCGCTATTGTCTTACGCAAAATCTTTTGAATCAAGTAGATCATTAAATAATATAGTTATATCCGTTAATATAGTTATGTCAGTTTAAGGACGCGTTGTCATAAAATGCTTTTGACGCAGGCTTGAGATCGACACAGTTTCTTTAGGATTTGACAGCACACTTACTTAATGGCGACATCGTGCTGATATCAGACTGCGGTG